AAGCAAAGGAAAGGCATCAATACATATAATCATTAAATTATCAATTTCAGAAAACTATCAAAGTGTACTGGGGTGGAAGGTGGCTAGACTATAACTTAAAAGGCATCCAGCTAGGCTATTATCATCCAGCTAGGCTATATTTCAGCAAAGCTGTATGGCTAGGAGTGGCATGATTTATTCTCAATTATAAAAAATAAAACTACCAGCCTAGAATACTCTACCCTGCTAAACTATCATTCAAATATGATGGATAAAGCTTTGCTCTGAAAAGCAAAAGTCAATAGAGTTTGCCACCATCAACCTGCCCTATAATAAACGTCAAATGTTAAAATTTTACATGGCACAAAAAAAATAATCACAAAACTTTGAGCAAACTGTAAATTAATAATGCATAAGAAGCATTAACAAGAAATAAATGGGACAACAAAACATTAAATGGGGTAAATTTATGTAAATTAATATGAGCACAATTTTAGATAAGAAAGACTGATATAAGCTACATATTATCCACAAAATAAAATTATAGAATTGACTCACTTAGAAGATAAAATGAAAAAAAAAAAAAAAAAGCTGAGAGAATCACGAGGGGAAATCATGCACAAATAAACCCATACAGATAAGTAAGGCACACAAAGAAAGAAGCATCAGAAACATAAAACAAACAGGACATAAGAGGAAGAATGGCAATAATTAAGCCTTACATATCAATAATCACCCTAAATGTAAACTTTCTAAACAAATATATCAAAGATATAGAGAGGCAAAAATGTATTTAAAAAAATAAGAATCCACTCAAGCTATTCATATAAGAGACACATATATTAAAAAAAAAAAAAAGACTTATAGTGAAAGACTGGAGTAAGGAAATTTTCAATCAACTAACAGAGAAAAGGCAGAAATGTCTATTTTCATCTAATAAAATAAGCCTTCAGACAAAAATAATTAGAGACAAAGATGAACAAAATGTAGTGATTAAACATTTAATCAAGAAAAAAAATGCACTGAACATAGATGCAGCTAAATATATAATGCAGTTAATAAGAGTCATAATAATGGAAGACATTTAAAACCACACAATTACAGTAGATCTCAATCCATCAATTGCATCAATGGGTAAATCAGTCAAAAATAAAAATAATGAGGAAATAATGGCTTTATATGACACAATTTCTCACATTGACTTATAAATATTTACAGAAATTCCCACTCAATAGGAAATGAACAAACATTCTTCTCAAATACATAAAAACCTCTCAAGGATAGATCATATCTTGGGGAAAATAACAATTCTCAATATATAAACTTTCAAATCATGCAAAGTATTTTCTGACTGTGATGGTATTAAGCAAGATATCAACCACAAAAAGAAAAGTGGAAAGATTAAAAATGTGGTGACACCACACATGACACCATGCTTACTGAAAACTATGTGACATAATAAAAGTCACAAAGAAATGGAAAGATATTCCAAATAAATATGTTGGAAGAGTAAATATTGTTAAATGGCTATCTTACCTAATAAAAGTTACAGATTCAATGTGATCTCATTCAAAATTACAATGGTATTTTTCAAGGAAATGGAACAAACAATTCTAATATTTATTTGGAACCACAAAATAATGTAATAGCTAATGTGATACTGAGGAAACAATATATTTCTTGCTCTCTCTTCAAGTTATACTATAGAATGATAATAATCAAAACAGTATGATATTGAAACAAAACCAAACATACATAGCAATGTCATAAAATTGAAAGTCCAGACATAAACCTTTACAGTTATTATACAACAAATGAGACAAGTTGATACAAAGGAGAAAGGAAATTGATGGTGCTGAAAACCTTGACAACTAGATGGGGAAAAATAAACTAGGTCATTATTAACACCACACAAAAGTCAATTTAAAATGGTTTAAAGACTTAGGAATAAGCCCTGATGGTGGTAAATACATAAAAGAAAACAGATCATTCACTGATGGTCACTGACCAGAGAGATATTGTTGAGACAACTCCAACAGCAAAGGAAACAAACAAACAAAAAGAATAAAACTCACTTCTTATATACTTAAAGAAACCACAAAAAAAAAAAAATGGCAACCTACTGAGTAGAAGAAAATATTTGCTTATCATACATTCAACAAGAACTTAATATATCCAAAAACTACAAGAAATCATACAACTCAATAACAAAAAGCAATCAACTCAATCAAAAACTGGCCAGAAGATTTAAATAGACATTTCCCCAAAGAAGATAAACAATTGGTCAACAGGCCCATGAAAAAGAAAGAAAGAAAAAATAAGTTAAATTTCACCTGATATTTGAGAAATGCAAATTCAAATCACAATGAGATATCACCTCACAGACTGAAAACAGCAATGTATTGACAAAGGTGTGGCACGAGGAGAATCCTCATTATCCATTGATGTAATTGTAAATTGGTGCAGTTGAAATGCAAAATGGCATAGGACTCTTTACAAAACTAAAACTGGCAGTACTTTATGATACAGGGATACCACCTCTAGTTATTTATCTGAAGTATGTGAAAATATCATATCTAAAAGATAAAAATTCCCCTCTCATAACATTTTTTTCACAATACCCAAATATATGGCAACAACCTAAGTGCCCAACAATAGGCATCGATGACTAAAGAAGGCAGGGTATATATAATAAATGAAATACTATCCAGCTATTAAAAATGTGACATTAATGGAACATGAGACACACATCATTAGCAATAAAACAAATGAAATAGTGACTCATGAGAAAAAAAAAAGATTCTGAAAAAGGTCATGCTTATAAAAGCAGGGGAGATAGTGACGTAGGAGAAAAGGATGGGGAGGAGTCAATTTGACAGTGGGAATGGTATTAGTACTTTGTTGATGAATGAGGTATGCTTTATTTGTATATAGAATCATGAAGATGCGCTCTCCAAATTTATATAATATCAATGGTAAATCAGTAATATTTGATTAAAATAATAAAACAATAATGAAAATAAAAATAAGTGCCATACACTTATAAAAGAGCCTAGCATTGGGGAATGGGGTGATTAAACTCTTTCTAAGGCAGTACAGATTGAAAGCCAGACATTGGAAGATGGAAGAATACAGTGTTGTACAAATGTGGAATTAAACTGACTCTTCAGCAAAGGAGGAACCCTGACTTATAGCATGCCTGATCTCCATGGTGTAAACTCTCTCAGAAAGGCCAATGGCAAATACCATTATGACATCACTAAATCTAGAATTGGGCAGAGAACAGTTCTTCTGAACCAATGTGAAATAACTGTCACACTGAATATTTCTTTCAAGTGCTGAGGAAGCCTATCTTTCAGTAATGAATTGTCTGTCAAACAAAACTATCTTCCAAGAACTTAAATGAAGAGATTTTCAACCAATGAGCTCATGACAAGAAGAAATTCAAACTACTTTATTCAAAAAAGAAGGAAGCTAAGTCTGGTAGAAAGTAGAATTTCTAAAATAAAGAAATGAGGAACAAGCAAATTAGTAACTCCATTGATAAATCAAAAGCAGTACTGTCTACATAAAAGTTACAAGCAAATTAGTAACTCCATGGATAAATGAAAAGCAATGCTGTCTACATAAAATTATTAATGGGAGGAGGATGAAACAGAAAATAAATGGAAAATTCAATCTAGAAGTCAGTTAATACTGATTGACTCATTCCACTACTGTTTTAGAAACTAAAAATGACATTTTTTAGACACAACTACAAACTAGGTTTCTGTACATACTTCATGTTCTAGAATTAGATATGGTCCATGAATCTGGAAGACTGTAGTGAGTCAGGATTGATTTTCTTGTCTCCTTTTCCTGGCAAACAAATTCATGGGAAAGTGAAGGTTCTCTGCCCCAATTTTTCAGGCACTTTCTCCTCTCCTTTGGGAATTGTCACATGGTGCTGGGCCACAGCTGTCTTTGGACTCATGCCTGGCCTCAGCAGTAATAGCTTCCCATTAATCTGCTCAGAATTGCTTGGGGGATCATTATAAAAGTCACTAAGGAGAATTCACTCTGTAAATGTTGCAGCAATTTTATAAGCCACTTATTTCGGGTGTTAAATCCATTCCTGCTTAAAATGCCTCCAGTTATTTATGTTTTCTACACTGTACCATGATTGAGTAAGAAAGAGAATGACACAATCACAGCACAAGTTGAACAAGTGGAAACTAAGTGGAAACTAAGAAGACAGAAAGAAACCCAATCATAGAAGTAACCCCAAAATATAAAGTGGTGTACACCTGCCAATTTATGTAACATGATCTGATTGAGAAAAAGAAAAAGAAAAAAAAAAGTCCCTATACATTCCTCACAATGTAGGAATTAGAGCAAAAAATTGGAAAAACATAACAGTAAAATACTAAATAGTGCAAAACTGCAATAGCTATATTAACAACATACAAAATAGTTATAGCATAAAATTATATTAAAGTTAAAAAGGATCACTTTAGCATGAAAAATTTTGACTCATCAAGAAGACATAAAAATCCCATTCTCCCATGAAAGTAGTAAACATACTGTCATGGTAAACAAAATTAAAATTCACAGAACTTCCTACAGAAAAAGAAAGTTCACTATTACAATATGGGATTTCAATATTATTTCAATGGGTGATAAATTAGTAAAGAGATTAAGTTAATCAATGATTGGGTTGTTCAAATGTTTGATTTCTTTAAGCAAAAAATTAAGTTTAAGATTCCAAATGAAATAAACAGTTCCAACTAATTCATCAGAAAAGTAATTATTTTCAATAACTTCTTTGTTAATTTACCTTAGTCTAGTTTCTATAAATTAGCTATAAATGCCATATCCCAATCCTGTCACATGCATGTAGGCATCTTCAGAAATCTTGGCCCCAGCCTTTGGATATTATGGGAACAAAAGGGTCCTGACACTAAACACTCAGATGAAAATTATACACTCATTCATTTATTTTAATAAATCTCACTGGGATGACATGGTATAAAACCACAAACCTGTGACTTTGCCTAAGGTAAGCGATCTCACTGCTTTGAACTCGACTTCTGGGGAGAAGTTATAACTGAGTTGGAGTTGCTGATCCACCTGCAGAAAAAGAGAAAACAAAGATGCATCAGCAGAGGTCGGCACAGTGGGCATAAAACAATGCCACGTGAAAATAGCTTGAAAACACAGAAAAGACCCCTCTTGGGATTTTCTCCCTGGAGAGATGAGAAATGAGTGGCTAATTCCCCCACAATACACATAAAATATCCCTCTCTTTCTTCTAAGTGAAATAAAGGCTTTCACGCACAACTTCTCCCTGGGAAATCTGTACAGCTCTTGACAAGTACTTATCTCCCCACTGAGACTTTCTCACCAAATTTTTCACTGCAAACAAACAAACAGATGAAGCCTTCTTAGGAACTGCTGTGCAGGATTACCTTAAATGAAAAGCACGCATTGCCATTTCTATCTGCTTTCCTCCCACCTCCCCCACCCCTTTTCTTTCTGTAATTACCCTGTGTATCTTCAGGAGTGGAACATGGGATTTTCCTAAGGCACATCGACAGTGATAACCTCACCTTTCAGGGTTGAAAACAAAATCCCATGAGATTCTTCTGGGCTTTATGTCCATTGGGGGACCCTTCTTACCCCACCCAACTCTAATTCCTGTTTTCCTGTTCCTTCTCCTCCTCTATAAATCACAGCAGGATTATCATCCACCTGCATTATTTTGTTCTCAGATTAGTCAAATCTTACTGGTTTCTGACAGCTTTATTGGCATATTCTAATGATGCTGTTCTTGGAAAATATTCTCCTTATCTCATAGTTCCCACAACAAGCAAAGAGCAAGACCGTCAGCCTGATGCTGAACACTGGCCCTGCCCGGGCAGATAACTTGGATGTCTCACCAATTCTGCCACCTTCTACTGCTGGAACTTTGCCTTTTTACGCACTTCTGCTCAGATCCGGCCTCCTCCTGGAATCTCTGGCTTCACCAGTGGTAGTGATTTTGATTTCAGTATGAGATTAATACCTTCATGTCATTTCACTCATGATTTCAGACATAGCATCATACTTGTTATTTATTAAGTACTTGGAGTGTATGAGGCAACATGCTAAAGTCTCTTTCATAAAGCAGGCCTTACTAGAGTACCAGGAAATAGGCATTATTATTCCTCCTTTACGGACCTGCCTGGGAAGTGTTGTCACAGAAATCAATAACTTGGCCAAGGCCACATAGTGCAGAATCCCATGTGCCTGCCTACCACATGATATGGGATTTATTTCTCCATAACTCTCTAGATTTTTGAGAAATTTGAGAGTTGCGTTTCTCAAAATTTCTACAAAAGTCATTTAACAAATATTTGAATTTCTACAACATACCAAACACTGTTACTAGTACTCAAAGGCCTACCCTGTTCAGGAAGCATTCCTTGAGCCTCCCCTGGTTAGATTAACTGATCCTCTTTTCTGCTCTCATGATTTCTTTCTTTCTTTTTTTCCTATCTTTAAGCACATATTCACAATGCTACATTATCATCTGCTTTCACCTTTTACCTCTTTTTCTTCCTCTCCACCCTCTCCACATATACACACTAAACCATATTCTCTTTGAAAACACAGAACACATTGTATCTGTATGGGATTTTGCCAGGCCTCCTACAGCATCTTAAAGTAAATCCTAACACAGGTTTTCTGAGTGAATATATAAACAACCTCTACTGAGTAGAGGTTCTACTTGGTAGGCTATAAAGACAGTCTGTCACCCTAACAGTATCCCTCTGGCCATTTTGACAGCCCTCACACACTTAGGTCCTACATGGAGCTTTTGGTCCACATGAGGCACATGTACAATCTGTTTACTGTTCATAGATTCAGTCATTATGCTGAAGGAGTTTTCTTCCTGCTATATTTCCAAGATCTCAACTGACCTGCTTCTCCTACTCTCTGGAAACGTTCCTTCTAGCAAGAGACAAAACCTTCCTCATGCTTTGCTACCCAGGTCGGAGAGGGGACTGAAGTGATTAAAAACAGTGGAAGGATTCTTAGAACTCATGGATGAGTCAAGATTCCCTTGGTTTGTGTTCCTTATGTCTTCCTCAGGCTTCATAAATTCACATTTCTAAGAAACTGATTCCCTGAACTTTGGCAGGCTTTTGATCTGATATCACACATTGAAAGAGCTGATTCAAGTACATGAGTCAAGTCTGTCCTATCGTTCTTCCCTATGGGAGCTACCTGATCCTCAGCTAATTAACCAGATTAGGAAAGAGAGAAGTAAAAGGACTGAAAACTAAATGGGCTTTTAAGGAAATGAGGAAGTGTAAAGATTTAGAGAGGAAGGGTCTATGCTCAAAGAAGATTGGAAGCTATGGCTGGGCTTGAATCTCAGTGAGGTGGGGGTATCTCCACACTACTGACATGAGTGAGGGTCCCCACACAGTTCACATTGCTTCTGGGTTGGCAGTTGGGTTAGCAGTTTGAAAATGTTAACTAATAAAGTGATAGATACCGAAAATGCTTATTTTTGAAACTTTAATGTCTATGGTTTGGGCTAGGCTATCATTGAAGCATTCAGAGATAAATGCATCATTTTGTTAGACTTTCCTTTTTTTTTAGAATTAATAGCTTATTTTTTTTTAATTATAATTGTGAGTTGGCAAGGAGAGAAGCATTATAGTCTATTAAACCTTTTGTGTGTCTACAGGGCATCCTCTGAGCAAAGAAGATTTGAGTATAACAGAATCCAGGATTCCCAGTGGTCTTGTCAAGTCATTAACTATATGGAAAAGGAGGAAAATGAAACAAAGATTTTTGTTATAAGCCCTAGGTGCCAAGCTTCTTCCTTGGTCCTCTGGCAATGTTATTAAGTATATAATATTTAAAAGAACTGACTGTGGGCTCTCCCTGATGGTGTAACAGGTTAAAGCACCACACTATGAAGTTCTATGGAGCCACTGTAAGTATAAATAAATAAATCTTAAAAAAAAAAAAA